CGCTCTTCCCCCCTGAATAATATTTATTATTTTCAGAACATGTGGGTAACTTCTTCCTAATATTCGCATATTTCGGGAGTACACGGCAGAAACTCATCGACAATCGTTAGAATTGCTGGTTTCCATATCTATGACCGGACCATCCTGTGAGAAGTCGCGAAAATGAAAAAAATTGGAAAATGAAAAAAGAATTCGAAATAGGTCCTACCGTTAGAAGGCGACCTTTCCCATTCATTTTCTTCTCGTCCTTCACCACCTTTTGTGGTGACTTCACAGGGCTCGCCTTATTGTTCTGAATCTGATTCTGGGCCTTCTGATTCTGATTCCTCTTTCGGATATCCGCGATGAATTCCACTCGGTCCTTGAATAGGAAATTGATTGGAAAAAGTGGGATGTTATCATCCAAATAAATATCGAAATAAACACGTAAAAGTCCTAATAAGTAAACAGAATATTAAATTTCACCTGAACGAAGTCCGGCTCAGATGCGGCGTCATCGTCGACACGCTTGGACGGAGTTGGCGCAGTTGGCCTTTGAATGGGTTGAGGGGCTAAAAAGATGAAGCCCCTTACTAATCAGTATAATTAATGTAGCATTCAGCACTGTTCTTTATTTTTTGGGATGCGAAAGGTGTCTTACAAACGTTCCTAATCGCAGTGGTATCGCGTTTAACATACACAAGATAATTCTGATATCAACTGGAGATAGTGGATTACTATGATTAGATGCTGATCAGATATGAAAGCAGGAGTGCCCAAATAGAATCCGAAGACGGGGATTCCCGAAGTGCCTGTGCGCCTTGGACAAGTTACGTCCTGAGGTTGACCGTTTGGCTGAGTGAGCCGTGAGTATAAAAGACATCAGGGCCTCAATATATGGTGATGCGAAAAGCACTTAAAAATGAAAATCGACGGCCAAGAGAAACGATACTGCGGACATCAATAGCACGCGGGGGCGGAGCGGTTTCAGAGCAGGCGGGCCGTTGGGTTAGGAGCCAGAGTGCTTCACAATTAGAGCATCTTTCGCCAACTAAACGCCACACTTTGGCTCTCTTGGTGGCTACCTCCTTCGCAGAGCCATACACATCTCCGGTCGATTTCCACTTTATCGCAGCTGCTCTAAGCGCAGCAGCAAGATTTCTAGGCTGAGTTGGCTTGTACGAGATTCTAACCGGCATTTCCTTCCCGAAATAGTTGCACGTGGCTCCACTCGCTGCGATACCGTT